AGGATCTGGTCAGGTAGGTCGGGTGTGGATGTGGACAGGATCTGGTCAGGTAAGTAGCGGAGGATCTGGTCAGGTAAGTCACAGAGGATCTGGTCAGGTAAGTCGTGGAAGGTCTGGTCAGGTAAGTCGCAGAGGATCGGTCAGGTAAGTCGCAGAGGATCCGGTCAGGTAAGTCGCAGAGGATCCAGTCAGGTAAGTAGCAGAGGATCCGGTCAGGTAAGTTGCAGAGGATCCGGTCAGGTAAGTCGCAGAGGATCCGGTCAGGTAAGTAGAAGAGGATCCGGTCAGGTAATTTGCAGAGGATCCGGTCAGGTAATTCGCAGAGGATCCGGTCAGGTTAATTCGCAGAGGATCCGGTCAGGTAAGTAGCAGAGGATCCGGTCAGGTAAGTTGCAGAGGATCCGGTCAGGTAAGTCGCAGAGGATCCGGTCAGGTAAGTAGAAGAGGATCCGGTCAGGTAATTTGCAGAGGATCCGGGTCAGGTAATTCGCAGAGGATCCGGTCAGGTAATTCGCAGAGGATCCGGTCAGGTAATTCGCAGAGGATCCGGTCAGGTAAGTCGCAGAGGATCCAGTCAGGTAAGTCGCAGAGGATCCGGTCAGGTAATTCGCAGATGGGGATACGGTCATCAGTTTCAGGTGCTTTTGTCGCATGAGTAAGGATCCAGTCAGGGTCACTAGAGGATCGGTCATGTAAGGCAGAGGATCCAGTCAGGTATGGTCGCACCCAGGATCTGGGGGGTTGTTCATCAGTTTCAGCAATGAGCGTTTGGTGTTCAGGAATGGTTACCAACAGGGGACTAGATGGGCAGCAATGAGACAACCCCCAACACAGGAATGGTTGTACAGGTGCACTAGATGGGCAGCAATGAGACGACCCCCAACACAGGAATGGTTGTACAGGTGCACTAGATGGGCAGCAATGAGACGACCCCCAACACAGGAATGGTTGTACAGGTGCATTAGATGGGCAGCAATGAGACGACCCCCAACACAGGAATGGTTGTACAGGTGGAGGACATTTTTTCTGTTTATCGCTGGTTTTGTTCGCCGTGTTTTCTGGAGGGATTATGGATCTCTTTAGGCCATTGGCCCTCTATGAGCAGCAGGAAGTCCTTGCAAAGTGCAGCCTAGAACCTTCTCCCCCCGGACACTTCATCGTAGAAGTCTTCTCTGAAGACGCTCCATCCAGGTGGCCATCTTCCCACCATCTTCCTGCTCCCTCTGGATAGACCCTCCACCAAGCCCTCAGTTGGGGCAAAGTCCAGAAGAGAAAGGACCGGACATTTTCCCACCATCTGTGGACCAAACCGTCAGCGATGGTCTGGAGAGAAGAAATCGTCTGGTACTCCGAGAACTTCTCTAGAGCTCCGGGCAGAAATGATGGATGTGACCCTGAGCTTAGAGAAACCTGTCTGCCGAGTACAGAAAATGTAACCACAGCTCAGGGTGACAACCGCCGAGCTGCAAAGACAACACGAAATGTGACGGGGACACCAACCCTTGAGGTCAGATCCATATAGCTACATAGCCAGTCCACGTAGTCCATCTAAGTCCTCTATGTGAGAGTGACCCTGCAGCTGTGGGGATGTCTCTCGGAGGAAGGTGGTCCTGCAGGAGAAGACTTTCCATGCCTTAGCTGCTACCAAGCGTTTGCAGAGGAACAGTCCCCCGAAGTCCACTGGGACTCTCTGACCCCCGCAGTGCTGACCCTCCTGGTTCCCCACAACCATCATCGCTGGTTCCTCCTGTAATGAGATGAATGTCAGCAGACACTATCGGAGAGTCACGCCTCACTTCTGTACCCCAAAACATGTCGATATCCAACACACCGATGTGACCCCAACTGTCTGATCAATTCATCATTGTGGAGCTGGAAATTCTTCTACACGTCATGACATCACCTGAGGTCCCCGGGCAATCACCCATTGTCACAGGAGCAAATTCTTTCAACTGGTCACCATTCTTCTACACGTCATGACTTCACCTGAGGTCCCCGGGGGTCACCCAATGTCCAGGAGCAAATTCTTCTACACGTCATGACTTCACCTGAGGTCCCCAGGGGTCACCCCAATGTCCAGGAGCAAATTCTTCTACACGTCATGACGTCACCTGAGGTCCCCGGGGGTCACCCAATGTCCAGGAGCAAATTCTTCTACACGTCATGACGTCACCTGAGGTCCCGGGGGTCACCCAATGTCCAGGAGCAAATTCTTCTACACGTCATGACGTCACCTGAGGTCCCCGGGGGTCACCCAATGTCCAGGAGCAAATTCTTCTACACGTCATGACGTCACCTGAGGTCCCCCCGGGGGGTCACCCAATGTCCAGGAGCAAATTCTTCTACACGTCATGACGTCACCTGAGGTCCCCGGGGGTCACCCAATGTCCAGGAGCAAATTCTTCTACACGTCATGACGTCACCTGAGGTCCCCGGGGGTCACCCAATGTCCAGGAGCAAATTCTTCTACACGTCATGACGTCACCTGAGGTCCCCGGGGGTCACCCAATGTCCAGGAGCAAATTCTTCTACACTTTGGGAGAGATTTACTGAAACTGGAGAGTGCAAAATCTGTGCAGTGACATCAGAGGAAGCCGATCAGTCCAGGGGAGGAGCCAGCACACCTGTGCAAGACTGAAGGGGAGGAGCCGATACACTTGTGCAACACCGGAGGGGAGGAGCTGGTACACCTGTGCAATACTGGAGGGGAGGAGCCGGTACACCTGAGCCAGACTGAAGGGGAGGAGTCGGTACACCTGTGCAAAACTGAAGGGGAGGAGTCGGTACACCTGTGCAAGACTGAAGGGGAGGGGCCGGTACACCTGTACAAGACTGAAGGGGAGGAGCCGGTACACCTGTGCAAAGACTGAAGGGGAGGGGCCGGTACACCTGTGCAAGACTGAAGGGGAGGAGCCGGTACACCTGTGCAAGACTGGAGGGGAGGAGCCGGTACACCTGTGCAAGACCAAAGGGGAGGAGTCGGTACACCTGTGCAAGACTGAAGGGGAGGAGCCGGTATACCTGTGCAAGACCGAAGGGGAGGAGCCAGTACACCTGTGCAAGACTGAGGGGGGATGGGGACAGATCTAACATACATGGATGGGGTCTCTCTACAGATACATTGAATGATGTAATGCAGATTTTCTGTTCACTATTTCCCTCCAGCGGGTGGAGCTCTAGGCTGCTTTTCACGTTTACCAGACTAATAATAACTGCTCTGCTGAAAAAAGTCCGTTGTTTATTGAGCTCAGGAGGTAACGTTTAGATTACACATGCAGCTGAATAAATCCGAGGAATTCTGATCCCGGGAATGTCCAAGTATTGATCCCGGGAATGTTGATTATTGATTCGGGAATTTCCGATTATTGATCCAGGGAATATCCGATTATTGATCCAGGGAATATCCGATTATTGATCCCGGGAATATCGATTATTGATTCCCAGGGAATATTCCGATTATTGATCCCGGGAATATCCGATTATTGATCCCGGGAATATCCGATTATTGATCCAGGGAATATCCGATTATTGATCCCGGGAATATTCCAGGGATTATTGATCCCGGGAATATCCGAATATTGATCCCGGGAATATTTGATCACCTCCTGGGGCATCAGGAAGGAATTATATGCCCTGATGGAGCTGATTGGATCATTCTTTTTTGGGGTTTTTATTGCCTTCCTGTGGATCAGCTATGCATATGGAGCGTCTGCGTATGGAGGTCTGCGTATGGAGGTCTGCGTATGGAGGTCTGCGTATGGAGGTCTGCGTATGGAGGTCTGTATATGGAGGTCAGCGTATGGAGGTCTGCATATGGGAGGTCAGCGTATGGAGGGTCTGCGTATGGAGGTCAGCGTTATGGAGGTCTGCGTATGGCGGTCTGCGTATGGAGGTCTGCGTATGGAGGTCAGCGTATGGAGGTCTGCGTATGGAGGTCAGCGTATGGAGGCTGCGTATGGAGGTCAGCGTATGGAGGTCTGCGAATGGCGGTCTGCGTATGGAGGTCTGCGTATGGAGGTCTGCGTATGGCGGTCTGCGTATGGAGGTCTGCGTATGGAGGTCTGCGTATGGAGGTCTGCGTATGGAGGTCTGCGTATGGAGGTCTGCGTATGGAGGTCTGCATATGGAGGTTTGCGTATGGAGGTCAGCGTATGGAGGTCTGCGTATGGCGGTCTGCGTATGGGGTCTGCGTATGGAGGTCTGCGTATGGCGGTCTGTGTATGGAGGTCTGCGTATGGAGGTCTGCGTATGGAGGATCTTCTGCGTACGGCGGTATCTGCGTATGGAGGTCTGTGTATGGAGGTCTGCGTATGGAGGTCTGCGTATGGAGGTCTGCGTATGGAGGTCTGCGTATGGAGGTCTGCGTATGGGGGTCTGTGTATGGAGGTCTGCGTATGGAGGTCTGCGTATGGAGGTCTGTAAATGGAGGTCTGCGTATGGAGGTCTGTAAATGGAGAGTCTGCGTATGGAGGTCTGCGTATGGAGATCTTTATATGGAGGTCAGCGTATGGCGGTCTGTGTATGGAGGTCTGCGTATGGCGGTCTGCGTATGGAGGTTTGCGTATGGAGGTCTGCGTATGGAGGTCTGCGTATGGTAGGTCTGCGTATGGAGGTCTGCGTATGGTCTGGGTCGGGCGTATGGAGGTCTGCATATGGAGGTCAGCATATGGAGGTCTGTGTATGGAGGTCAGCGTATGGAGGTCTGTATATGGAGGTCAGCGTATGGAGGTCTGCGTATGGAGGTCTGTATATGGAGCCGGTCAGCGTATGGAGGTCTGCGTATGGCAGGTCTGCGGATGGAGGTCTGCGTATGGCGGTCTGCGTATGGAGCGGTATACCTGTATGGAGGTCTGCGTATGGACCTGTGCTGCGTAGGGAGGTCTGGGATGGAGATCTGCGTACATGGATGGGGTCTCTCTACAGATACATTGAATGATGTAATGCAGATTTTCTGTTCACTATTTCCGTCCAGGGGTGGAGCTCTAGGCTGCTTTTCACGTTTACCAGACTAATAATAACTGCTATGCTGAAAAAAGTCGTTGTTTATTGAGCTCAGGAGGTAACGTTTAGATTACACATGCAGCTGAATAAATCCGAGGAATTCTGATCCCGGGAATGTCCAAGTATGATCCCGGGAATGTCTGATTATCGATATGGAATTTCCGATTATTGATCCAGGGAATATCGATTATTGATCCCGGGAATATCCGATTATTGATCCCGGGAATTGTCTGATTATCGATTCTGGGAATTTCCGATTATTGATCCCGGGAATATCCGATTATTGATCCCGGGGAATATCCGATTATTGATCCAGGGAATATCCGATTATTGATCCCGGGAATATCTGATTATTGATCCCGGGAATATCCGATTATTGATCCCGGGAATATCCGATTATTGATCCAGGGAATATCCGATTATTGATCCCGGGAATATCCGATTATTGATCCCGGAATATGCGATTATTGATCCAGGGAATATCCGATTATTGATCCCGGGAATATCCGATTATTGATCCTGGGAATATCCGATTATTGATCCCGGGAATATCCGATTATTGATCCAGGGAATATCCGATTATTGATCCCGGGAATATCCGATTATTGATCCCGGGAATATTTGATCACCTCCTGGGGCATCAGGAAGGAATTATATGCCCTGATGGAGCTGATTGGATCATTCTTTTTTGGGGTTTTTATTGCCTTCCTGTGGATCAGCTATGGATGTGGAGGTCTGTATATGGAGGTCTGCGTATGGAGGTCTGTATATGGAGGTCTGCATATGGAGGTCTGCGTATGGAGGTCTGCGTATGGAGGTCTGTGTATGGAGGTCTGCGTATGGAGGTCAGCGTATGGAGGTCTGTGTATGGAGGTCTGCGTATGGAGGTCAGCGTATGGAGGTCTGCGTATGGAGGTTCTCATATCTCGGTGATCTGATTGTTGCTCGGGCATTCCTGAGGAGCAGATTTCAGGGGCTCTGCAGCCGCTGCTGTTGTCGGTGTCGCTGGGTGTCAATGTCGCTGGGTGTTGCTGGGTGTCGGTGTTGCCGGATGTTGGTGTCGTGGGTGCTGGTGTCGCCGGTGTCGCTAAGTGTCGCCGGGTGTCGGTGTTGCCGGGTGTTGGTGTCGCTGGGTGTGCTGGTGTCGCCGGGTGTCGGTGTCGCTGGGTGTCAATGTCGCCGGGTGTCGGTGTTGTCGCCGGGTTGGTGTCGCTGGGTGTCGCCGGGTGTCGCTGGGTGTCAGTGTCACCGGCTGTCGGTGTCGCTGGGTGTCAACGTCGCCGGGTGTTGCTGGGTGTCGGTGTCGCGGGTGTCGGTGTCGCTGGGTGTCGCTGGGTGTCAGTGTCACCGGCTGTCGGTGTCGCTGGGTGTCAGTGTCGCCGGGTGTTGCTGGGTGTCGGTGTCGCTCGTTGGTTCTGGAATAATTTGCAGGAGATCTATGAATTCTCTGACACCCTCAGATCATGGCGGAGCCGAGTCTAATGTCCTGGATTCCGGCCTTAACCCTTCAAATCACTGAGGACTGGATGTCTCCTCCTGGGGGGGGGGGGGGGGGGGCAACATCACATCTGAGCCCCACAGACCGAGAACCCAACTTATTTCATTCTCAATATTCATTCAAACTCCCAATCCATCCATCCATCCATGTCTCTGTCCATCCATCCATCCATGTCTCTGTCCATCCATCCATCCATGTCTCCATCCATCCATCCATCCATCCATCCATGTCTCTGTCCATCCATCCATCCATGTCTCTGTGTCCATCCATCCATCCATGTCTCTGTCCATCCATCCATCCATCCATCCATCCATCCATGTCTCTGTCCATCCATCCATCCATGTCTCTGTCCATCCATCCATCCATCCATGTCTCTGTCCATCCATCCATCCATCCATCCATCCATGTCTCTGTCCATCCATCCATCCATGTCTCTGTCCATCCATCCATCCATCCATCCATCCATCCATCCATCCATGTCTCCATGCTTTGTTTTGTAGAGAAATCACTTTGAAAAACACTCCCCTATCATTTCTAGCCGTGTCCATCTTGAGCCCTATGGAGGGGGCTGTATGGAGGGAGTCCTATGGGGGGGCCCTATGGAGGGGCCCTATGGGGGGCCCTATGGAGGGGCCCTATGGAGAGAGTGGTCGGATGTCATGCATTCATAAGTGAATCAGGAAAATACCACATTATGTCCACTAGAGGGAAGTGATCATCATATTAGAGTGGAGTTCCCCTCACCTGTCAAAAAATAAAAGTCAGCAGCTCCAAAACTGGACAAAAACTGTATCTGCTGACTTTTATAAAACAGACACTTACCTGTCCCCCGGTCCCGTGGTGTCCCCCCCGCAGCCCGTAGTGTGTCCCCCGCAGCCGTGGTGTGTCCCCCGCAGCCTGTGGTGTGTCCCCTGGTCCCGTGGTGTCCCCCCCGCAGCCCGTGGTGTGTCCCCTGCAGCCCGTGGTGTGTCCCCTGCAGCCGTGGAGTGTCTCCCGGTCCCGTGGTGTGTCCCCCGCAGCCCGTGGTGTGTCTCCCGGTCTCGTGGTGTGTCCCTCGCAACCCGTGGTGTGTCCCCCACAGCCCGTGGTGTGTCCCCCGCCCCCTGCAGCCCGTGCTGTGTCTCCCGGTCCCGTGGTGTGTCCCCCGCAGCCCGTGGTGTGTCTCCCGGTCCCGTGGTGTGTCCCCCGCAGCCCGTGGTGTGTCTCCCGGTCCCATGGTGTGTCCCCCGCAGCCCGTGGTGTGTCCCCCGCAGCCCGTGGTGTGTCCCCTGCAGCCCGTGGTGTGTCTCCCGGTCCCGTGGTGTGTCCCCCGCAGCCCGTGGTGTGTCTCCCGGTCCCGTGGTGTGTCCCTCGCAAGCCCGGTGGTGTGTCCCCTGGTCCCATGGTGTGTCCCCTGCAACCCGTGGTGTGTCCCCTGGTCCCATGGTGTGTCCCCTGCAGCCCGTGGTGTGTCCCCCGGTCCCCGTGGTGTGTCCCCCGCAGCCCGTGCTGTGTGTCTCTCGGTCCCGTGGTGTGTC